GTGCATATGGGTATGCAGTCTACTGCTCTGTCCGAGCCACTGAGAAGGCCCAGTTCTAACACATGCACTGTACCAGCAGTCTATGATTCTCCCCATGGTTGGAGTTCTGAGTCCAGCAGTTCAGTTGGGGGCCGCTCACCAAAGAAACCACACCAGAGGTGATTCCTGTGTGTGTGCTAGGCAGTATGGGGTCCCGTTCAGTCCATCATCCACATCAGCCTACACACACACTAGTGGTTACAATTGCTAGGTCAGTTCTGTCTCCAGTCCCCTCTCTTATTCAAATCAATGGATGCTGCAACCCAGCCCACCACATGTTTGACCCTCATATACACCGGTGGAAACTGCAGCCTAGTAAGAGCAACCCCTAATAACTCCCACCAGGTCTTCTCCAGCCATAGTGTATGACAGTATGTGCAACAGACTGATCTGGACTGTCCCAATCCCAATGGGTGTGCAGCCTAGCTCAGCCCAACCAACCCCACCATGCAGCCATCATACCAGCAGGTGCTACTACTTGTCCAGCTAGGCCCTCCCTCAGCCCTAATTCTCATGATCACTAGTGGGAATTGCAGCCAATCAAAGAAGTGCCCACTCCCAGTCCAGGATCTTGGACTTCCCAGGTGGTTCTGCAGTCTAGCTTGACAGGACTTGCCCCTCTTCCCAGCACTTGCCAGGTGATGCTGCTGCAGAGCCCAACCAGCCTGTACTTACTCTGGCTCAAGCATGCACCAGTGGATATAGTCGGTTAGCCCAGCCTAGCTCTTCCCCTAAATCAGTTCACTTACAGGCCAGCAGGTATTGTGGCTCTGCCTAGCCTGGTCTGCCCCCACTGCCAGTTCTCATACACGCCAGTGGGAGCAATGGCCCAGCAGGGGATTCCTTGCTGCCCCCTATCAGGCTCACCCCCAACTGCCCTGAGTCTTACTTGTTCTGGTGGGTGCTGTGACACAGACTGGCATGGCCCACTTTTACCTTGGCATTTGCTGACAGGTGTTGTAGCCTGGCAGGACCAGGTCTGCCCCCAGTTCCAGCTCATGCTAGTGGGTGTTGCAGCCTAGTCCAGACCATCCAGCCTCCAGTCCCGGCCCTAATGTGAACTGGCCAGTGGTGCAACCCAATCCAATCTGTCCCGCACCCTGTTCTGGTTCTCTGATCTGGCAATGGGTGTTATAAACTGGCCCAGCCTGGCCCACCCCTAGACCTGACCCACATGTTTGCCAGTGGGTACTATAACCTGGCCTGATTTGGGCTGCTCCCAGTCATGGTTACCACACTCACCTGCAGGAACTGCATCCTCCCCAAGCTCATCTATCAGATGTCTTCCCAGTGACAGATCTCATGCACACTGGTGGGTCCTTGACCCAGCCTGACTTGGCCCTCCTCCTATCCTGGCAGGAACAGCAGCCTTGCCTGACTGACCCACACTCATCCTGGTTCTCACTGTTGGGTGCTACATCCCAGCCCTGCCTGGACCAACTCTAGACCCAGCTTTCTTGTGGTTCAACAAGTACAGAGACCTGGCCCAGTCCACCATACATCCACCCTAGCTCTCACGAGTACCAGTAAGTGCTGCAGTCTAGTCCAGTCTGGCACACCTCAGACCCAGTCCACACTCATGCCAAGGGACACAACAGTCATGTCCAGCCCAGTTGTTGCTCTTGCACTCACCAGTGGGTACCACTACCCATCCAATACACCCTCTTAGCTCCCCAATCAGGCCTGTTCCCAGCCACAAATCTTACAGGTGCCAGTTGTTGCTCTGACCCAGCTCTGTCTTGGCCTTTGCCATCAAATGCTGCAGCCTGGCCCAGTTCCAACTTTCACTGGTGGTGCTGCAGCTTAGCCCTGCCCAGCCTGCTCCCATCCTTGGCATGTGCAAACCAGTAGGTGTGATGGCCTAGCCCAGTACGGCCCGCACTCTAGCCTGGCTCCTGCACCCACCAGTGCGCTAAGGTTTAGCCTGGCCCTGCCTGGTCCAACCACCCCACCCCACCACCTCGTCAAACCAACCCACACACTTGCTGACAACCTTTCCAGGCCTGACCAACACCCAAGTCTGAATCACATGCTCATCATCAGGAGCTATGTCCCATCAAGGGAATTTTCCAAGTTCCCCCACCAGGCCCATTCCCAGATCTCACATGTGCCAGTAGGTGCTTGGCCCTTACCCGGCACAGTCTCCTGCTGTATCTTGGTCTTTGTGTGAGCCAGTGGATGTTGTGGCCATGGGTGCTACAGCCTGTTCTCTACTCCAGTACCCACAAATGTCTTGTGGTTCCATGAGCATGTCTCGCTCCACTTGTTATTACCCTCAGCTCTTGAGCACATTGGCAAGTGCTGCAACTCGAACACCCGAGAGGAAACATCAGCACCCCACTTTCCACCTGGTGTCACCTGTCTGCCTCCTGAAGGCATCTGAGTTTGGGATGCTTGCTCCAGACCTCCAGCAACCTCATCTTTGGCACAATTTCTTATGATAAGGAATTAACTCAGCATTTTACACAAGAGTTGGGTCAATACTGTTTTAACTGCTCCGGAGTGCTTCTTGTAGACTGGTAAGCTACTACCTACATGAAATACCATAAGATCCAAACAGCTGCAGCCCCGGTCCAGCTTATCCCTTTCTGCTTCCATGCTGTCTTGCTCATGACCATCAAACTACTCTCTCGTGACTTTTGCCTATAGGGAAAGTTTGGGCAAGGCACACTAATATCCAAACTGCTTCATAGCCTGCCTTCTAAAGGATGTAGATGCTCAAATCCATGTCTTACTTCACCAATACAGACTGACTCTGTCATCCACACACACACCTGCCCCAAGCCCTGTCATTTGTCTGCTCATTGAAACTCAATTCAAACCCTACCTTTTTCCATCAGATTGTTCCATGTCATCCCAGTCTGAACCGACCGTGCCTCCTTTTCAAATGTATGGTCCAGAAACACTTGCTGAATGCGTGAATCTCAGGAAGGCTGCTTTCTTAGTACTGAATTATGATCAAGTTGCTTATCCTTAAGAAGTTTCTTTATTTATAAAACAACAATGCAATTTTGGCAAGAACTGAATATTGTTTATAAAATTATTTATAAGAGCTGTTACAGGCGCTCAAGAATGGCACATGTACTGATTCTGAACCTCTTATTCTTTGTTACCATTTCAATGAGGCACATTTCTCTTCCTAATTGCACTGCTGGAACAAAGAACTATTTCTTGACATAGTTTATCTCTGTTGCTGCAACTAGCACAGAACTTTGCTTAAAAGTTTGCAAAAACTTTGCAGGAGCACATGGAAAACTCACCCTTTAAAAAATATGCCCAAAGACTCAGAGCTGTTGTTGGAATTTCCTTCTTTAAAACTATTTCATTCTTAGTTAAGTACCACCCCGAGTTGAAATTCAGACTTGCCTGAGAGAAAGCAGCACACAACACTACATTGGTTGTGAACATCCATGCCAATTAGACTTGAACATTCAGTAGAAGCATCAACTCCATGCAGGTTGCCACTACTAGATGAGGTAGAGCGATTGACTTAATCCAATCTTTTGGCATAATTTGTGACATTCTAAGGACATTTCCAATTCAACTACAGCATAGAAATAAGGAAGAAAAGAGAAAATGCAAACCATGCCATCAATGAGTGACAAGAAGGGAAGCTGGGCGTGATCCCTTGCTGGAGCTGGAGCAGGAGTGTGGAGGATGGAAAGGAGTGTTTTCTGGAAACAAGGGTAACTGCCTGTCACAGACAGCCCAGCTCCAGCTCTGAGGACTTAGCTTCCAGGAAATTCTCTTCTAGTCCGAGCAAAATCCAAAGCAAAGCAGGATAAAGTTGGTCACCTTCTTAGGCACCACTGGCAAAGATAATATGTCTTATTTCGAAAGCATGCTTGGATACAGTACTGCACACGGAGCAACATAGCCCTGCCCTGCCTGGTTATCAGTGGGAGAGCAAAGTGCTAATAAGGCCAAGGCTAAAGGTCTGATTTCCCAGGAAACTTGGTTCTCTTCCACAGCCAGAAGCTGTGAGCGTCTCTTAGGTCAAGGACAGCAAGAAGAGAAAGCGTAGCTTCTTTCAGACAAGGTTCTTGGAGTTAATAGTAACATTGATGGAAAGACACTAAAACTTTAAGTCGGTCATAAGAAACAGGTCTCCTGAGTTTCCTGAAGTCTATAAAACATGGATCAAGATCCTAATATACGGAACATAGAGAATATTTGCAAATTCCTACAGCACGTTCCCCCATACCATTTCATCCTATGCCTGTGCAGTGGATGTCGCAGATATCAAACACAACAGGATGGGGGCCACTGGGGGCACTCCATCAGTAAACAAGAGATGGAGCACAAACTCTCACCTCCCAGAGTGTGTGTGTGTGTGTGTGTGTGTGTGTGTGTGTGTGTGTGTGCACGCGCGTGTACTGGGCACAGGTCCCTGCCTCCTACAAGGACCTTCCATCAGCATCCCAGAACTCTTCAGGTCCCAAGAACCAGAAGTGCAGCTTTAAGCGTCCAGGGCATCAGCTGCAGTACAGTGAGGGCCGGCCACATCCTGTGTGTGAAAGGCTCCATTCCACATTGCTCACCCTGCTGGTCACAGAAAGCATCCTTGCTGCTCATAACTTATGCTGCCTGACTGTGCTTCTTTGCTTTCTTTAAGTGTTTGCATTTTCCCATAGACTTTTCCACCTAGAAAAGTAGTCTCTAATTAGGGGTCTCCCTAGGAATCTGCTAAACTGTCAACTTTCCAAACATGGCTATTTCTCCCTTTAGAATAATCGTCGGCAGGATGAAAACCACCCCATATCCTACCTACACGTTACTCATTAACTGACTTGAAAAAAAAAAAAAAAACAGCCTCAGCTAGATTAGGAGTCATGTGAAGAAATGCTTCCTGCAATGCAGGAACGGGTCTGGAGCTGCAGCTCAGCGATTTTCACTTCTTTGGGGAGCTCCAGACATGAGGGTGTGAGCTGGGTCTCACCTCCACAGCAGACACAGGTACAATGGTGAAAAAGAGGCTGTCTTCCAACGACACGGTCTTCCACTTTGAGCTCCCTGGCAGTCCCAAGAAGGGCAGAGGAGAGGCCCTGCACAGCTCCACAGACAGCCCCGGCTCCGTGTTTCTGAGGTGGGTACGGCGTGGCCTCTCAACAGGTGGCCCTTGAGGGAGCGCCTTCCTCAGTTCCGTCTGGCAGCAGTCTGCCAAGGGCATGGAGAAGGTAGGGCTGGGAATCCGGGAGGGTGAGTTTGTAAGAGACTCAAGAGGGAATGTGATTTTTCCGATCAGAGCTTACTACAATCAGTCCGACCACTTGTATGACCACTAGTCTGGGGAGCTCACCCTCAGTGCCTTTGCTTACATATTTCAAATCCTGGAAGAGTGGTCAGTGCCTCTATTCCTGGCTTACTATAACTCCAGTTCCGAAAATGTAAAGTCTACTAGTGAAATGAAAAACCTACTTTTGCGTCAGACCTACCTTCTTTCTTCTTATTACTGAAATGGTAAGATAGCAGTCCTAAATTAAATATTAAAAAAAGCACTAACTGTGTTCTGGCATTCAGCTTTGGCAAGGCTCAGAACACATTGTTTTTACCTGTAAACAGTAATATCTAATCCAGCTCTATTCTGATATATGTATACTTAGAATGAAAATTCATTCATCAAGTCTTCATTTTTTTTCTAGCAAGTTTTAAACTGTAGAGTCATATAGAAGTGGAAATCAAATGCAAGGCAGTTCCTCACCTACCTTCATGTTAACTTTAACTTTCACATCAACTTCAACTGAAAGCAAAATATTGACCTCTACATCCAAACTACTTTTTGATCGAGACAGTCAACAATTATGCTTGATCACTTGTGCTACATTCTTAAAACATTGTATATCATTTACAGAGTGCTTTATTGTGTTGCTCTTACAAATTCAACAGAAAACAAAGTTATCTCTTATTTCCATGACATTCGCATATCAGAATGTCGTTAGGAAAGGAAATTGAATACTTTTTAAGATTTGAGGATCCAAAGACAGCATTTATTCACGTTTGGCTTGATACATCTGTCCTCCATATACCTTACTTTTATTAACCATCATTATAATGAATCTGTCTCTTGTCTCATATTGGTGATTATTTGAACCAAAGTGTAATTCTTATGACTGAAAATGCAAAATCTTGCATTATTTCCATGTTTTGCTCAACTTCAAGTGGCTCTCAAATACCTCTGTCTACTTATCCCATCTCTTAAGTATATTATCATGGCAACTACTATTTACAACTCAAGTTCTAACCATGAAAAAATTTAATTAAATGCAGCAGCAGACAAATAAGAGATTCCAGAAAGGATAATCTAAGCAAATGCTGCTTTCATAATTACAAATAAATACATAGAATTTAAAACAACACAAAACCCTTGGAGAGCCTTGTAAATGTAAGAGTCATGCAAAAGGAATCCAGGCCGAAGTCACCTGCACATTGAGGCACTCAATATCCAATCTTTCTCTCCATCTGTAAGTGTTTCTGTGAAATGTGCACTGGAACAAACCCCAAGTCACTGGGCATGTCTCCAAAATAGTTTGGGCATTGGACAACTTTTAGTCCAGTGGAAAGATTTCTTTTTAGTGTGTATAAAATTGTTGAAAATTTTTGTGGAAATATTCAGGGACGCAGTGGCTAAATTTCTGAGGTCAAAAATAAGACCAAGTAAACACTTCCCTTTTCCTCTACATAAATATTAGAAAATTACATAGCTGTTATGAGACCCCATTATCCTTTCCATGAGCTGGACCTGATAAACATCTTCCTAGACCACCAAAGTTCTTTAAATAGGCACAGACACAATTTATGCACTGTTTTCATTCAGCTGTTCCACTCGGCAAAGGTTTACTGAGTAACTGTTACATCTGACTAACATGGAAAGTACAGTGGAATAGTCTGAGGTTAAAGAGACAGAGTCTCTGCCCTCGGGTAAGTTATTAGGACAAGAGACAGGCAGAAGTACGTGCACCACGGCATACGTCACTGCCTAACTGAAAACTTAATCTATTTACACGTTGCAGGAGAACAATCAAAGCTGAGCTAGAGAACAGATGAGGAAAACCCAAATTAGATAGGGTGGCAAATAGAGTAAACCAAAGAGGTGATATTTCGAGCAACTCGGAGAACGCAGAAGATGCAACCATGAAAGATTAGGAAGGAGTGCATTGCTCAGACAAGAGTAGGACTATGATTCTTGTAAGAAGTGAGGCATCCAGCAGCAACAGGAAATGGGGGGTGTGGGGAGGGTCTGGAATCTATCCCAACTGTGACATCAGCCACAGAGTTTAGAGACAGAGGGTTATCGTGGGGTGTTCCCTACAGAGCAGCCCTCGCCACTCATTCAGTGGATCTGAGAGATGTTCCTCAACATCTAACTGATGTGGCTGTTCAATGTTTTCCAATCTGGAAGGTGTAAAGTGGTGCCTTGATGTGGTGTAAACATGCATTTCACTTATAGCAGCAGGAGGAACATCTCTCCCCCCGCACCCCCATTCCTTCTTTTTCTTAATGCCTAGTAATGATTTACAAATATTTGGTACAGGAAGATCAGCATCTTTTCTTCTTTCTCTCTCTCTCTCTCCCTCCCCCGACAATTTAAAAAATATTCCAGACATTGATTGTTGTTGTTATATGAGTTCAAAAAAGTTTCTAACATATCAATTTATCTTTTCACTTTCTGTTACATCCAAGTTATGTTTAATTTAATGATGTGTTAAGTTTTCATTTGCACATTCTGTGACTCACTGAAGAAACCCTTGTCTACTCTGAGGTCACGAGCACATTTGCACGCCTCTGCTTCTACAGGCTTTCCCTTCAAATGGGGTTCTTAGATTTGGAGTTGATTTTGCTTCTGATGTGACTTAAGGAATTTTAATATTTTTATATAACTAGTGAATGTTTTTACATTATTTATTTACTAGGTTGTTCTCTCTCCATTAATCTGCAAGGTGAACTTCATTATACATCCTGATTTTAATTATTATTCCTTTGTAATAAAAAAAATGGGGGAATATGAGTCAGCTTTAGTTTAGAAGTGTTCAGTCACTGTTATCCCAGGGTTCTTCCATTTAAATGTTCAGACCAGCTTGTGAAGTCAGATCTCTATTTTAAAATTGAAATTGCATTGGCTCTGTTGTTGAATCTGAGAATTGTTGACATCTTTATAGTGTTAAGTGCACCTTTTCATAAACACAGGATGTTCTTTCGTGTATTGAGGTCATTGTTAATGTCTCTCGATAAAGGTTTAGAATATTCCTTTTCAAAAAGATTTATTTATTTGAAAGACAAAGAAAGAAAACAGGGAAGAGAGATCTTCCATATCTTTGCTCACTTCCCAAATGGATGCAACAGCCAAGGTTAGGACAGATTAGTCAGGACCGGAAGCTTTATGTGCCTCAGGAGGTAGGACAGGGGATTGTGAGACTTGGAATGCAACAGACCAGGCCTCTTTTGTACAAGAATTAGAATTCTGAGTAGGAGAGAACAGAACTCCTAGGTGGTGGTCCTTGCCAGGGAAACAGGATCCATCGTGCCTTTCATAGACTTCTGGGTCCTGCCCCATAGTCCATTGCACAAAGCATTCTGTGGTGTCTAACGCACCTGCTCTCTCCAGCTGTCAGTCTTTGGAACATGCTGGAAGCCCACCTTGGATCACCTTGGAAACCCTTCTTAATTTTTCCAGATGCACCTTTGGAAAATCTGGCATAAATTCTGCAGGATCCTCCACTCTCAACTCTCAGAAAAACAGCTTCTTAATGGTTGGCCTTATATCCCATATCAGCCATGTAAGAATGCCCTGCCATTCAGATGGACTTATTACAAAGCCAACGTCTTTGTAGGTTAACATCTATGCTCCCTAATGGGTCCTTCCAAGGGACTGGATGGTTCCCAGCAAGGTGCTCCCACACATACATTTTTGTACAATGTGACAATGTACACACAATACTGCAGTTCCCATCACCCTCTCCCTCAATGCCAGTTCTCCCTCAGCTGCATGTCCCCTCCACTCAAATGGCCAAGGAATTTTTTTTAATCTGCTGTTTAAAGATAATTTAGATTGGGATTAGTGGAATTTATAAGTCAAGGGCTACAGATAGCCTCATGATATAAACGTGTTTTACTGGGGTCATGTATTGAAAGTATATGGGGAATGACAGAGAAGCAAGGTTTGAAATGTATGAAGCCCGAAGCCAGTCTCTGGCAAGTTCTTTCAGTCACTGAACTGAGTATTGAGTAGGCTATCACAGCCTGCTCAAAACAGACATTCTGTCCTGTTATGAGTGTACGAAGAAAGATCTCCCTCTGACTCTTTCTGTGTGTTAGTACATGTGTTTGTCCACTGCTGTCTCTATTTCTCCTTCAAATAAGAGGATTTTAATTAAAAATGTAAAGGCTGATATTTCGTAGCACAGCATTAAGCCACCATCTTCAATGCCAGCATACTGTATCAGAGTTGTCTTCAGTCCCAGCTACACTACTTCTGCTCCAATTTTCTGCAAATGCACCTGAAAAGTTAGTGGAAGATACAGAAGATACTCCAAGTACCTGGAATGCTACCATCCATGTGGAAGACCCAGATGGAATTCCTGACCAGTGCCTTTGGCCTGGCCCAGGTCTGGCTGTTGAGACCGCTTGGGAAGTGGACCAGCAGATAGGAGATTTCTCTCTCCCTCTCTTTATTCATGAACGTATGCGTTCCTTTTCTATCACTCTGCCTTTCAAATGAAAATATTTTTAAAATGTTAACAAACTTTAGTCTTAATCTTTGAACAATTTTAAGTGAAATTTTAAAGCTACATTAAAAACATAGTATGGATCAAATCAACTTAAAATCCTCACTTCTGTTAAAAATCTATCTTAACTTTTTTTTTTTTTAAATAAGAATGGGAGTTTGGCCTGGAACTAAGGCAACAGTCAAGACACCCATGTCCCACATCAAAGCATGTGGATTCAATCCTCAGCTTTAGATTCCAATTCCAGTTTCCTGTTAAGGAAGAGCCAGGGACACAGCAGGCGACAGTGCAAGTAGCTGGGTCCCCACCATGCACTTGTGAGGCCTCGACTGAGTTTCAGCTCTTAGTTTTGGCATCAGCCTAA